TTCACAGAGGATACATGTTTTTCTTTTGTTTGATGCTTCTGAATATGTTTTAATTTGTACTGAAATGCTTAATACTTGACTTGAGAATCAGCATAATAGATACAGTGATTTCACCATAGCATTGCTTGTGTCTTACAGTTTTGGTTCTTGGGGTAGATATATGGCAGTCAAATGTGAATACTAGAAGGAGAGATGTGGTGCAAATTTCTCTGAGGTCTTTGTCACTTGGGACCAAATTTGTATCACTCAGGATACATTTATATGCTACATAAACTTTTTAAAGGGCCTGGGTAGACAAGGTGCATAGCTAAAGAAAAGTTATTTACTATCTTGTTCTCTGATCTTATACAGAGTTTCATGAGTTGACAGTTGATAGTTAAGGCAAATATTAAAGATGGGAAAGGAATTAGTAGAGGAGAGTAAGACTTTTTTTGAGACATTAGTTTTCATTCTCTAACTTGGAAGGAGCACATTTCTAAGAACATACCATTTTTTCTTTAATTCATTCTGATTTTGTCACTTGTCTTAGGCTCTAGGATACTATGACTGAATATTCTTAAACACATAGTATCTGTTCTGATTTGTGCAGATGTCCTACTTTTGCAGCACCATGAGTGACAGGTTTGTTCACAACCCTTTTTATATATGTTAGCCTTACTAACAAGACATGAAAAGTTAATCCGTATCTCTTCTTCAACTCAACAGAATTCCAATAATTTAAGTAATAGTATACTTGTTTTCCTAAATTTAACTGAGGATGATACTTCTGTGGAAAAAGGTCTGGGAGTCCTGGTGGATGGCTGGCTGAACATGAGTCAGCAGTGTGCCCAGGTGACCAAGAAGGTCAATGGCATCCTAGCCTGCATCAAAATACTGTGTCCAGCAGGAGCAGGGAGGTGATCATACCCCTGTGCTCAACTCTGGTGAGGCCACAGCTTCAGCACTGTGTTCAGTTCTGGGCTCCACAGTATAAGAAAGACATTGAGGTCCTGGAGTGTGTGCAGAGAAGAGCAGCAAGGCTGGTGAGGGGTTTGGGGGGCACGTCATATGAGGAGAGGCTGAGGGAAATGGGGTCATTTAGTCTGGAGAAGGCCCAAGGGAGATCTTATTGTTCTCTACAACTACTTGAAAGGAGGTTGTAGAGAGGCAGGTGTTGGTCTCTTCTCCCAAGTAACTAGTGATAGGACGAGAGAAAATGGGTTTAAGTTGTGCCAGGGGAGGTTTAGGTTGAATGTTAGAAAACATTTCTTTACTGAAAGTGTGGTGAAGGGTTGGAATGGGCTGCCCAGGGAGGTGGTGGAGTTGCCATCCCTGGAGGTGTTCAAGAAACACTTAGATGTGGCACTTCAGGATATAGTTTAGTGGTTGTGGTAGCTGGATTATGGTTGGACTCTATCTTGAAGGTCTCTTCCAACCTTAATGATTCTATGATTCTGCTTGTAGATGGCAGCTAATGGAAAAAATATTCTGAACACTGAATTTCTAGGATTAAGGATTATCTGGATCTAAAAATAACATCTGGCTTTGGATTCATAGAACAATGTAATTTAAACATCCACCTTTGGAATTTAATTATCCTTACTGTGACAATATTTTTCTTCATCAGTATTTGCAAAACATACACAGAAAAGGTTTCATTAAGTGTGAAAATTAGCATGTATTACATATAACCCTGGTATAGTTCTGAAAATAATGGTGTTAGCTACTGTCATTATTTTAAAGAAAAGAACAGCTATATAAATAGAAAAGCATATCCCTAGCAAAGTAAGTTGGGTCTCTGGCAGGTAATTATTTTTAATAATTTATAACTAGCTCATTAAGTCTGATAGAGCTTTTCAGGGAAGTTAGAGAAACAGATTTGAAGTCAGAACAAAAATGTTAAATATGTCAGTGGAAATATTCTTTCCTGAGAAAAGGCATCAAAATCCCTTCTGTTTGGTTTACCATCTGTTACATAGGTATATATGAATATATATACAACTTTATATGGCTAAACTGCAATGCTACACTCCAAAGCATCTTTTGAAGATCAGCCTCAGCACTCTGACAGATGTTTTCAAATAAATGGCAAAATGAGACAATGAAAACATTAAAAGAACATCCTGCCTAGACTCCTTTGTGCTTCATCAACTTAAGTGCTTGTGGTAGATATGGTCATACCACCTCTATGTACCTCCTTAATTTTTTTTATGCATTACATGCTTCTGTCTATATATAGTTTCCTGCCTATTCAAGTGTTCATTGGGCTAAAGGTCTCAATAACTGAAAAGAGGGTGGAAGTTGTGCAAGCAGATCAGTACCTTGTGCTGCTTATCTGCCCACTGTGGCAGACAGCTAGGACTTGTGCTACAGTTCATGTTTGTGCTCAGGTTGAGGGATCTAAGACTTGAAGCCTGGAGAGCAGGAGCTGTTGGAAAACAGCTATATGAAGGAGTAAGTGATAACAGTGTGTTTTGGGATACCCCATTGCATGCTGAACAGAGAAGGGAGAAATTTCTGGACCAGTCTGAAGGCTGACCATGATGGGGGGGGGGTAGTTATTGTTCTCTACAACTACTTGAAAGGAGGTTGTAGAGAGGCAGGTGTTGGTCTCTTCTCCCAAGTAACTAGTGATAGGACGAGAGAAAATGGGTTTAAGTTGTGCCAGGGGAGGTTTAGGTTGAATGTTAGAAAACATTTCTTTACTGAAAGTGTGGTGAAGGGTTGGAATGGGCTGCCCAGGGAGGTGGTGGAGTTGCCATCCCTGGAGGTGTTCAAGAAACACTTAGATGTGGCACTTCAGGATATAGTTTAGTGGTTGTGGTAGCTGGATTATGGTTGGACTCTATCTTGAAGGTCTCTTCCAACCTTAATGATTCTATGATTCTGCTTGTAGATGGCAGCTAATGGAAAAAATATTCTGAACACTGAATTTCTAGGATTAAGGATTATCTGGATCTAAAAATAACATCTGGCTTTGGATTCATAGAACAATGTAATTTAAACATCCACCTTTGGAATTTAATTATCCTTACTGTGACAATATTTTTCTTCATCAGTATTTGCAAAACATACACAGAAAAGGTTTCATTAAGTGTGAAAATTAGCATGTATTACATATAACCCTGGTATAGTTCTGAAAATAATGGTGTTAGCTACTGTCATTATTTTAAAGAAAAGAACAGCTATATAAATAGAAAAGCATATCCCTAGCAAAGTAAGTTGGGTCTCTGGCAGGTAATTATTTTTAATAATTTATAACTAGCTCATTAAGTCTGATAGAGCTTTTCAGGGAAGTTAGAGAAACAGATTTGAAGTCAGAACAAAAATGTTAAATATGTCAGTGGAAATATTCTTTCCTGAGAAAAGGCATCAAAATCCCTTCTGTTTGGTTTACCATCTGTTACATAGGTATATATGAATATATATACAACTTTATATGGCTAAACTGCAATGCTACACTCCAAAGCATCTTTTGAAGATCAGCCTCAGCACTCTGACAGATGTTTTCAAATAAATGGCAAAATGAGACAATGAAAACATTAAAAGAACATCCTGCCTAGACTCCTTTGTGCTTCATCAACTTAAGTGCTTGTGGTAGATATGGTCATACCACCTCTATGTACCTCCTTAATTTTTTTTATGCATTACATGCTTCTGTCTATATATAGTTTCCTGCCTATTCAAGTGTTCATTGGGCTAAAGGTCTCAATAACTGAAAAGAGGGTGGAAGTTGTGCAAGCAGATCAGTACCTTGTGCTGCTTATCTGCCCACTGTGGCAGACAGCTAGGACTTGTGCTACAGTTCATGTTTGTGCTCAGGTTGAGGGATCTAAGACTTGAAGCCTGGAGAGCAGGAGCTGTTGGAAAACAGCTATATGAAGGAGTAAGTGATAACAGTGTGTTTTGGGATACCCCATTGCATGCTGAACAGAGAAGGGAGAAATTTCTGGACCAGTCTGAAGGCTGACCATGATGGGGGGGGTGGGGGGGGTGGCACAGACCGGGCACTAGTCTGAAGTTTTGGCAGAGCAAAAGCAATTGTCTGTCAGCAGCTTCAGTTTTAACCAATTTCTGCTGGAAAATAAATTAGAAGAAATTTCATAGAGCTTAGAAGTTTGTGTATTCATAATAAACGTAGCTTGTTAAAGAGTATGGCTGGAGAAAGCACTGACAAGTTTATACTAAGTGACAGGACTAAAGCAGAAATCTTTCCTGTGGCTTTATTAAGTAAAGTAGAGGCATATGGGAGCTCACTGAGGAAAAGGGTCTAAGTATCAGTGTAACATGAGGCTGCAGTAGCTTATGCCCAAGAAATGGGATCAAGGACATCTCAAGTCAGTGACCACAGAGGGAGCAGTGAGTTTGCAACTGCTTGTGCTCTACTTCAATTTCTACTCCTTTTCCCCTATGTTCTTGCCAATAATAGTTTTGCTGCCAGACTTGTCCTCTGGCTTCAGTAGATGATTCTCTGCTTTACTGCAAAGAAACCTTTTGATCCTTGCATGCCAGTCTTCCTGCACTGTACCTGCTGAGGATTCCTTCTTTAGCTGGCTTTATAAAACCCTTCCTGCTAGTTTGAGTTAGGTATGCAGTACCCATTCTATTCTTGTCACCCTGGAAAAATTGTTCTTCCCCTGCTTTGCCTCTCTTAATGTCACTGCTGCTGTCCCTTGGAGGCTCTGCATCAGAGCTGGCCAAGAATGAATAGTTAGCACAAAAACCTTTCACTTCAGGCCTTGGTTTGTTGCTTTTAGTCACATCTATTGCTGAGTTGCTAAAACAGTGATGCCACCTGATTGCAGGAGCTTTTTCTGGGATGAATTTGGGTGTTACACAATTCCTCAGACAAAAGCACAAAGCAAATACTTTAATGTATATTTCAGTTAAAATAACTGCTGCAGGAGAGGGCTAGCTCTTGAATATCTGCATATATTCTGATTTTTTTTTAAATCTAATTTCTTTTTTCCTCCTCAGATTGTTGATAATGTTAATTGTATCACTGTGAGGAATTTCCAGTTATGGAGAGTTCAGCAGTGGCAGGCAGTGCACCCATGCTCAGCACAAACAGCATCATCCCTGGTCTAGAGGGAGAAGAAGACAGGAACTTGGAGAGGAAACAAATGGAGCAGGGAAGGTGCAGGTCTGGCTGGATCTGTGGGGAGGTGAATGCTGCCACCAGCACCATCAGGATGGACACACTGCAAAAACAAATGGGTAAGACCCTAATGTATTCTGGTCACTCTGCTCTTAGTTTTCGTTGTGTTTAAATTACTGTGTTCTTTAAGCATTGCTGTGCACAAACAGAGAACTGTCACATGTTTTCCAGCTGAGTTTTTAAATTAATCTACAATCATTAAATGCAAGGAAACAAACAGCTCTATTTCCCCTCTGGAAAAGCTGCATGGATTGGACTATTAAATGATCTACATTCAAATTCACTTTGGGCAAAAAATGGATTATCTATTAGAAGCATAGAATGGTTAAGGTTGGAAGGGACCTTAAAGATCACCAGGTTCCAACCTCCTTGCTATGAGCAGGAACACCTCACACTAGACCAGGTTGCACAAAGTCTCATCCAACCTGGCCTTAAACACCTCCAGGGAGGGGTTTCCACAACCTCCCTGGGCAACGATTACAGCACCTTATTGCCCTCAAGGTGAAGAATTTCTTCTTGACCTAAATCTCCCCTCTTCCAGTTGAAAACCATTCCCCCTTGTCGTATCACTGCCCACTCTGGTGAAAAGCCCCTCCCCAGCCTTTCTTTAGGCCCTTCAGGTACTAGAAGGTCTCCCCAGAGCCTTCTCTTCTCTAGGCTATTACTTAAGATAATCTGAGATGAAAATTTTCAGAACCCAAGAGCCAGAATGCTGAAATGTTAATTCTTTGTCTTTAAATTTTTGCTATAATTGCTAAGATTCAGAAGCAAAGATGTGTTAGCCTGCAGATTTCTATTTTAATCAAATTCATAGATTTCTGTTTTTTGTCAACGCATGTAATACTGTCTTTATTTTTCTGCAATTGAAAACCATAATCGATGCAGTAAAACCATGCGAGTCATAAACACTTCTTGGGTGGAAGGGTGGAGTGGCACAGGCGGCTGTCTCAAACCAGTGGCCAGATTCTTACTTTATAGTAGGCCCAAGAGCTTTCTGAATGTGAAAATACTTCAAGCAATTATGGAAAAACTATTATGTCCTATAGCCTCAACAAGGTCTTTCTGTTCACAACAGCAGCTCTGCTGACACCAGAGAATACAGGGCACAGGCATCCCAGGGTGGTACAAAGTTTCTCTTTAGCTTGCCAAGAAGTAAGCAAATCATCTCATTAATTAGGAATGGGGCATGGAGTTCATGTTAAGTGTTTGAATGTAATCATAGTACTTTAAACAGCCTCAATGTTTAAAATGTATTTTTAGTAACTTTTATGTTTCTGCTCAAATTTAATAGCAAACTATTGTTTGTAATTAAACTTCCATGGGTAATAAAATGCTCATATTTTTTTTGCTTTCTTCTAAAAGTCATAGAAATTAGGTTTAGTTTTTAAATAAATAGTACCTGCTGGATATTCATATCTCAATAAATATCTTTCAAGGCAAGACCAAACCTGGAAAAACTAAAATAATACAACAAGTTCATATGCCAAAACCAGATGTTAATTAACTATTCTTATCAACTACTAAATGATGATCAGACAATTGATAAGCTGTTGTGAAAGTTTTGAAAGTTGGTCTGTTTGTACTTCTGAATAAAACAAGAAAAAGCAGACCTACAACTAAGTATGGTCACAGAAACTGTGGGTGACTAAAATTTATCATGTTCCTTAAACACAGTCATCCTACACTGCAGTAAGCTTATGATCAAATCTCTGATTTTTAAAATCTAGATTTGATGATATTTGTTTTTAAATAAACTCCCAAACCCCTGCAAACACTCAACTGAAATCCAGTGAAAAACCTAAATACTTGGGAACTGATTTTTTTTATTCTAGTGTACAAGAAAAACTGGCTTTCGAGGTGGTGTTTTTACTGCTTACTGCCTTTTTTCTGAAGAAGGGAAATTCTGTGTTTATGTATCCTTATTTATTTGCCTGGCTTTGGTTATGTAATATCCACAGATGTACTCAAGGGAAGATGCAGAAGTCTTACAAATTACCATGTCCTACTATATTACAATGTTTTTTTTGAAAGCAGAGCTGCAGAGAAAAATCTCTTTGGGTATATGAGAATTGCCTCAGCTCTTTTAAAAATTAAAGATGTAGTTCTCCCACTTGTATTCTTAGAAATATGAAGCCTAGTCTTCACTGAAAAAGAAAAAACAGATTAATATAAAATGTTTAGCTTGTGTTACTTCTCTAAAACTTAAAATCACTTGATTTTTACATTGCCTCCTCCCATGTATTACACTTTTTACAAAAAAATTATTTCTCTCCATATATGAACTGGTACAAGGCACTTGTATCATTGTCAGTTTATTCCAGTGAAGGTTCAGTGGAGGTCACTTTTTAGTATAGGTGCAAGGGAAGAGAAAAATGAAGTCTGGGTCTTGCTCCCTCCCACACGGGACCCCAGTTTCCTGAGAGGCCATTTTTCCACCAATTCCACATCTTGAAGTTTCACATCAAAATGAGGAAATCAAGATTTAAATTCCTCTCCAGTAGGAAAATACATTGCAGGAAGGGGAAGAAAATTTTCATTTAGCAATTGCCTAATGCATCAAATGCTCTAAGTGTGGGGTGTTGTTTTTTGGGTTTGTTTTGTTGGGGTTTTTTTCACCCAGAATGATTTTTATGTGCTTAGAAAATGCACTTAACCAATCCTTTTGTTTATCATGATAGAGTGTTCTGAAAGTGAAACATGCACAAATATCAGTTCAAGGACCCTTCCCAATCAAGCAGAGAATTTTCCAACTGGTAAGATAACTTCCTCAGTCTTCTCTAAGAAATATAATTATTTTCTCTTGGCTTACTATTTATTTAATTGAGACAAATCAACAACATTTGCAGTTGTCACTCCTGTAACTTATATCCTTTGGGGTACCTCTGAAGTGTCCAAATTCTACACAAGTTTGGTTGAGAATTTCTCATAAAAAAGAGAAAAATAGCTGCTATAAAATCCAGAAAAAAATATGGATTATACTGTATTGGCTAGTAAAAAAGCAAAGAAAGTTCATTGCTTATTTGATATATGGGTTTCAATTCTTCAACTATCTTATTTTTTTGATGGTATTTCTGAGGCTTTATTTTTTTATATATTTTCATTGAAGTTGCAGTTGAGTACAGCTCTTCAGCAAGTAGATATAACTGCCTTCCTTTCTGGAGAGCTCATGGTCTGCTCTGTCACATTTCCCTTTTCTTGCTTATAGAGGAAGAGAAATAGCCATTGAAAAACAACATCAGGATGCACTCTTTCTGGCTTGACCTGACAAATCACATCAGTGGTAGACAGTCTCCCTTAGGCATACAGTTATTTGTAGTTGCTTTATTTGTGCTTATGTAGCTGTATGTCTCACTCCATACACAAGTTGGGTAGTTCTTATCTGGGGGTATGGATCAGAGCTCACAGAAGCAGGAAGGAAGACTGCCATAGGTGCAGTGGGACCACATTCATTTCCATTAAGCACTCCATTAAGCTCATATTTTGGCAGAAGCAGGCATATTTCAATTGTTTTAATTGAATGTGATTATTATTTCAGTGCTATTAATTTTATTTAAGACTTGTGTCTGCATCTTTTATAAGTTCAGGTAAAAAGAAAAGGTCAACAATACTGTTAGTGATCTGAGAAATACTCTAGTTTTTCTTATTTGTACTAACAATTGACTATGTGACTGCAGCTTAAACAAAGAGGTCTTGTAATGTAGTAACACTGCTTTATGTTTGAGACACCCTTCTTGACCTTGAAGTGTAATGAGTAATTTAAGTGCAAGTCATCCTAAAACTCCATAGGAAGCCCTCTGAAAACAGATTTAGATGCAGCATATTACGCTACAATGTGAAAAATATCTATTTTACTTGATTAAAAGATGAAAGTCAGGAGCTGTAAGATAAGCTGTGTATAATCTCATTTATTGCTGGAAGTGTGACCTATTTGCACACTAGCAATTGGAATTTTTCCTGAGTAGTATTGGCTTATATGTGTCCATCTGGGCATCTGAAAACTCCTGAATATTATTTACTGTCATTGAGTTAAATTAACAGACATGCAGAATGAAAGCAGCTTATCAAACAGCCTCTTCATCTGAGGGAAACCAGCTGAAACTGTAGCCTCAACTGTACTAAAAGCTTCTCAAACAGATGTCATGATCTGAGAACAGGTAACTGGCTGCTTTAGATATGGTTGGTACTGCTCAACCAGGTTGGCTGAGAAACAGCTTTTTCAACATTCAATTTACAGAAACCTTCTGAATTAGTGGGAGTCACATATCAGATAAGCATGAATTTAAGATGACTTGTTCTAACAGGCTGAACTACCTGTATTTTTTTTGCAATTCTAGTATCTGCCTTGATTTTTAACATACAGGGGATATTTAGAAATCTAGTTGTGTTCTCAATGTCTATAGACCTGTCTAATTTAACAAATTACCAATCTGCTTTCTTCTTCCCTCCTCTCTTCTCTACCCTCAAGTTTCTCATCCTCCAAAATTTCTACAGACTTTCACATCATTCTCTGTATAGCTGTAGCATTTAGTATGCAGCTGAAAAAAATCTTGTTTCATGCTAGGCTGCTATCTCTCTTGGATAAGAAAAATGAAAGAAACATGCAATAGGACAATTTTCTGTGTCTCTAAACCTGAAAATAATAGTTTTTAATGTGCATGGATTCTGAATTTTTAGAGATTTTCTGGTTCTGCAAAGCTGAATCACAAATCTTGTAGCACTGTAAATGGATTAACTTTTTTTCTCTCCAGATATCTCCTTGAAGTTAACAATGGTAAGACGAAAGAGTGGATGTCCTGATCCCAGACTCCAAAGACAGCTCAGAGGGCAGCTCCGTCTTGTGGAAAATGACAGTAGGGAGGTGACAGCAGTTTTCAGTGTGAGTTGCTTGGGAATTTATTTATTCAGAGAATACACTCTGTTCTACTGAAATAATTGGTGAGATATTTGGGTCCCATTTCCACTTATATACTGTATGCTTCAATTGGAGTGACTAGAATTTCCCATGGCCCCAAATGATCTGAAGACATTAGTATTGAACCATTGAAAAAGACCTGAACAACAAATTGATGTAAAAGAAACCCAGCTAATGAGGTATTGAAGGGTTTAATGTTAAATACATTCTGCTTTTATTCATGTCAAAGGAAATAATGTTTTTCTGGTTCTTGTTTTATTTTGGTGGGTTTTATTTGCCCTCATATCGACTCTTCACTTCAGTTTCCAGTCATTTGGAGTCATTTTTTATGCAAATTACCCAGGAAACCCACTGCTAAGCCTAAGAGGAAGTCTGAAGGAGAACAGCATAAATATTGGACTTCCCTAGGGCCCAATAGTCATAGCTTTAAACAGCATGCACAAGGGTTGGTGTATTTTTATTACTGTCTTTAATTTGATTGTATACAGGAAACACATCCTCTACAACAAATTAGGTTTGCTACAAATACAATTTAAAGTCTCCTCTTTCCTTTTGATGAAAAAGCAGGATGATACCATTTGACCTCTGATGTATTTTTTTTTTTTTTGTCTGAGCTATGAGTTCCAGCCTCCTTCACTAGCAAGCCAAACACTGAAGTCTTAATTAGTTATGGCTTTATGACAGTATCAGATGTGTGTCGTTCTACACTATGTTCCTTTCATGTGTTGTGAACTCCTCACCACCATCCTGCTGATTTTGTGGCTGGGAAAACAGTCTGTACTCCTGCTGCTCTGCTTTGGCTTTAGTTTAGGGGTAGAGAGGAAGGGAGAAGGAAGCAAGAGAAGGAAAACAGCATACAAATAGATGAAATTTGTGCCCTTATTAGAAACACACTAGGAAAAGGACTTTGAAGGAAGCAAGATTTATAATGATAAATTTCTTTAGAATGTTGTTTTGATATTCAGCAGTGCATGAAGCCCTTGAGGCTGAGATATTTTAGCATGTGTTGGTAATTCATTAATAGATTTCAGGCTCTCGTTAATATTTAATCCAGTGGAGAAAGGGGCATGCAGAAGATCAAAGTGGTGATGAGGCATGTCTCTTGAGGAGGCTTAAGTTGGACTTTATTTTCAAAAGGGAGTTACTATTTTAATCTGTTCATGTTGTGTGACTTGAAACTATGGAAGTTAAACAGAATTAATTCTGAGATCTTTTAAAATAATGACATAAGTCATAAAAACAGTGGGTCAGCTCCATCTTGCTCAGATTACAAAAAAATATTTGAATAATTTTATTGGCTTTTGTTTATTTTTTCTCCCAGAGTTAGAATTGGCTTCTTGTGTAGTCCTAAATTGTTTTAAGATGCATTTTGATTTTAATATGACAGAAGCAAGGATACAGTCCAGGATAAATATACAGTAGCATTACACTTAGTTACATCTGAATTATTCATTGAGATATTGGATCAGGTAATTGTTCCATAAATTGCCAGAGTGCTTTGTATTTCCTTGAAAGACAATGGCCACCAGCATTGGCAAGCCCTATTTTTAGGCTGCCAATTGAAGTTGAACAGCCTATGTTGCTGCTCTTTGACTACATCCATCAAAATGTACATTTCTTTCACTTATTTGAAGGCTTATGCAGTTCTCCCTTTTAGCATTTCTGAAATTCCTTACAATCCATCATTAACAACAATCATTGCTCACCTTTATCAAATGCAAGATTTTATGCTACTCTAGCAACAGGAACTAGTACAAATGAGGAGAAAAGGCTGTAATGCATCTTTTTTTAAAAAAAATAAGACTCCAGTATATTGTTCTAACCCTGGGAAGAGTGAACTAGGGAATGACTAGTCAATGACAGCTGAGGTTAAGATTACAGCAGGATGTTGTGGATCCTAAAAATTTACAGGAGTTCAAGAGACCTAAAGAAATATTAAGTAAAAAAAAAAAACCTAAACCAACACAAAAATAAACCCTTTCCTCTATTTAATATTAATGCTCACACATCTGGAAAAGGCAGTTTTCAAGCTGTAAATGGCTCTGTGATAGGAGGGTATTATTGGGAAGTACCAGTAGATGCCTGATCGGCTTTCACACTCTAACTAGAGAATACTGGCCAATACGCACACATGTCTGAACCAGACATGCCTTTAGACTCACTTAGTGTGGTCAGTCCTGAGGTCTCAATTCGTCTAAATTAACCTTACTGAAACTGTTGGTACAATTGGTAAGAAAATATCAGATTAAAACTTGGTTTACTGTACATTGTAGGTATGTGTTAACAGGTATCTCATCCAGTTAAATCCTGGGTGATTTTTGTATCCTTCTTAGAACACAGCATTTTACCATAGGTGTTACCTAATGAGAAATTGTCCTTGAGTTCAGTATAATTTGAATTAAAATATTGTTTATTTTTAGGAGCTCTCTGCCAGACTGCTGTCTATTCATAGTGATGAAGATCTAATAGTGGTGACATTTAAAACTTTTGAAGAAATATGGAAGTTTCTAACCTACCATTCACTGGGTAAAGCCATTTCACCATACAACAGTTCTGTTTTTGTTCCTCTGTGCACAACTTCTGACTGACCAAGAACCTGCTGAACAGAATTCTGAGATTCTTTCTATTAACTCATAGAAGCAATAATAATGTTCCCAACCTAGGTACTAGTGATGGGGCTGGAGAGACCCTCCAGCCTCCAGAATATTTTGCCCTTGTCCCAAAGTAGAGAACAGTTGTTGTTCCTGGCAGATGTCTAAGATAGGTACTCCACAATAAATCACCTTTTTTGAAGCAGTCTATTCAAATCCAGGTGGCTTTGTCCTAAAATCTAACCCATGCTGCAACTTTAATGCTTTCATAGCTTTTTTATGTTCACTCTAGACATGTCAAGGTTACCCTTCTTTCTTTGCACCCTGCTAATAAATATTCAGAGACTTCCAACCCACACTTGCAGCCAGAATTGTTTTCACTAGGAAAATCAATAATCCTCAGTTCTAGTTCAAATAATCCTCAGTCTTCACAGGTAAGGGCTCTGACTGCATTGTTCAAGTCAGAGTGCAAAGACAGACTGGGAAAAGGAAAATCTGTCCACTGTGGGAGATGGTTTGAGACCATCCAAAGAACCCAAAAGTGTACAAATCATGAGACCTGACAAGATCCATCCATGGGTCTTAAGGGAGCTGTCAGATAAAGTTGAAATGCTGCTTTTCATTATCTTTGAAAAGTCATGGCAGTCTCAAGTTCCCACTGATTAGTAAAGGGGAAATATAACCCCCATTTTCAAAAAGGGAAGGAAAGAAGACCCAGGGAACTACAGGCCCATCAGTCTTGCCTCTGCCCAGCGAGATGATGGAGCAGATCCTCCTGAAGGCTCTGCTAAAGCACAGAAAACACGGAGGTGGTTTGTGGCAAACACCATGGCTTTACCAAGGGCAAATCAGCAAGTTCACTGATGATACCAAACTGGGAGGGGTGGCTGACACTCCAGAGGGCTGTGCTGCCTGGACAGGGTGGAGAGCTGGGCAGAGAGGAACCTAATGATGTTCAACAAGGGGAAGTGTTGGGTCCTGCACCTGGGGAGGCAGAACCCAATACACCAATATAGGCTGGGGGTGGACCTGCTGGAAAGTAGTTCTGTAAGGTCTTTCTCAACCCAAGCCATTCTATGAATCCTTCTTCAGAATGTGTTGTCTAGACTTCTGATTATGCTTCTAACTGGACTCTTCTAGTTGTTCCACATCCTTCCTGAATAGTAGTGAGCAAACTGGACAGGGTTGCTAAGACTTCAGGGGAAACGTAAAGTAAAACAAAGATTGGTTTGTATGCCTTGCATGCTTCAGTTTACTTTCTAAATCCAGGCATGCATTTTGTAACTATATGCAATCATTGACTGAACTTCCATTTTTAATATCCTGTAGTTTCTCAGGTATTTTCTGAAGAATAGCATTTGAATCAGGTATTTGTCTCCACTTTGTTCACTTGATTTGTTTTCTTCTGTGTATGGAAAGCTTGTGTGCATTACTATTGATTTGCTTGTTTCCATCTGACCAAGTTAAAATAATGAATTCTATTTATTTAATGTTTGCTATTTACTTGCTATTTTAAAATGCTCCCAAGAGGACTAGAGAAAATAGTTTCAGTCCAATTTTGCAGAGAAAGCACAAGAAAATTAAGTTTCTTCTTAAGCAAGGCCACTGATAACAGGGAATTGATTCAAAATCTTCCAAATATCATGGTAGAACCTTAATCACTGATCTGCCCACCTTTCTTCTTCATCATAGCTTTTTCAGCAAAGGAACTGCTAATGTATTAGTGTTAGCCCTCTAAGTAATCTACTGTCTCTAGCATGTTGATTATGATACATCAATCCAGATGTCCCTGCAACTGTCATAGCTTTTTGAATTCCTGAGTCCTAATGTAAGGAATCCCAGTTCCCAAGATCAAGCACTACCTTCCTGTGATTTACATTGTCTCTGTCCCAGAGAAATTTCAGGAATCTGATACACTGGCACAGTATCTGCATAAATAGGCACACCTGACTCAGGCAACGGAAGTTTATAGTGATTACTTTTCAAGATTTTCAAGATATTTCCAGTACCTGTTGCTCAAAGCTTGCTAATGGTTATCTCTTTCAGATCCCAAACCTTAACTATAGGGAACCCTTGTAAGGGGAGGATATCCTCTGTTTTCTGCAGGATTAGATACAGAAAAATGGTGTGCCTTTTTGGTGTGGTTTGTCAAAGCTAAGGATTAAAATGCATGTGACTTGATGGATATAATTTTGCCAGTACTATGTAGTAAAATGAGTTCTACATTGTGGTTTTAGCAATAATGGAATTACATAAATGCCCACCCCAGTCTCTGACTTTGTGAAAAGCTGTTTTCATGTGTAGTACTGTAAAACAACAAAGAGAACAGATTGGACTTTTTTTCCTAGGTTTTATAAATCACTGCATGGAAAACTTATTCCTAGACCAATCTTTTTGGCTGTATTCTCAAGAGGAGGAAGAAACAGGCATTGAAGTCTGTATAAATGAAAAATCATTACATTTGATGTACAGAAGCCTGCTAGTACAGGAAGGTAAGAAAGACTATATGCTAAGGCTAAATTTAGAGAAATACCTTTAAAATCCTGAAATCAAATATTAAGATTGAAATACTTAAAGTTAAATTTTAAAGTTATTCACTCAAATGCACCAGAAAGAAGAGATAGGAACAAACACAGAGCAGGTTTAGTAGGGTCATCGAGGCATCAGAGAAATTGATGTGCAGCTGATCCATAAAGGATACAAAAAGGAGTAGGGAGGTATATACATTCCCACTTGCTTAATACTATTGTGGATCCTGGAGATGTACAGGAGAGGGATTACAGAAAGTTGCCTGGCTCATGGGCTTCTCCTAAATAGCTTCACCTGCTGCCATGGCTGGAGACAAAATGATGGGCTAGATGGATTGTTGATTACTACAATATGAACATGCAAAATGTTGTAGTGGAAGAAGCTTCTACACTTGATTTAACACTTCAGCCCTGCATATTTTTTTTTTTATTGAAAGAGAAACCAGACAAACAAAGGCATATTGATAATCAGAAAATTCTTGTGAAATCTCAGATTTAAAGTTTCTAATTGAATATTACTGATGGTCCTGAAGCCAGTTTTAAAGCTTGCATGGCAATAAAACATTACATAAAATTACATCTGCTTCACTGTTTTTGATTTTTTTTAGGGGCGTTTTTTGTTTCATGTCCTGACAATCTGATAAGAAAGATATTGGTTACAGACAATGAAATAAATACTTATTTTGAAACTGGGGCTTTTACTGAAGATGTAACAGGTGGATCTATGGATGGTGATGTGACTGTGCTGATTAATGCTTCTCTGGAGCCATTGATTCCTTTTCATCAGTAGGTACCTGACTCTACCTATTCCATATGCATCTATTTGATATGCACTTGTCTGTTTAGACATAGGTGTCTCTAAATGGCAGCTTGCTATGGAATGTCCATCTTCCATTAACAATGAAACAAAAGCTCTGAGTCCTTCCATACCACATATTTGAAATTAACCCAGATGCCTGCAGAGCAAACTTCTTGTGAGTTAGATACTGCTGTTTTTCCTAAGTCTGAAATAAAATTTATCAACATTTCTAGAATAACAGAGTGAAAGTTTTCATTCTTCTGGATGCTTGGAAATATGGGTAATAACAGGTGGGACACTTGGAAAGGCTAGCCGTGTTTATATTCAGGACTGTTGACAGGACTAAATCCAACTCTTTAATGCAGTTTGTAAGTTCATGTCCAAACTCCTAAAGCCAAAATTACATTAATGGGCTTACTTCAGGAATTGCCAGAGAATCCTCCATTCTTGGTGCCCTTAGTAATTAAAAAGCTGGACTTCTGTTGACTTTGGGCAGGGAGAAATTGCATGAGTTTCTCAGGTTATCTTACTGCAAATGCTACTCAAAACATGAGTAGCATGTCATGTCTGAAGTGTATGGACAGTGCTGAAATTGAAAGGTAATTGTGGGAGGGTTGCATGTTTTCTAAATGGATTTAAAATACCACAGTTAATGTCACAAAAATTCATGAAGTGTTTTACAGCCTAACTTCTTTCCACTTTCAGATGGTTTCTTAAAGGGTGTTCTAATTCCATTGACCTTAGATGCAAAACTGAATCCAAATCCACCATGAAAGTTGGTAAGAAACTCCATGCAAACATCAGCATTACAAAAACCCCAAATTTATTCTATGCTTTTGTTAGGATGGGGTTCAATAACCCTTCTTCCCATTGTATTAGGATAGGAACACAGCTGCCAAAATTGTTGCAGTGAAACTAGTGAGAGCACAAATCTCTGTGTAAGGGGAGTTATATTTATTTTTACTCCTAAATACTATATTATGTAAATCAATGAAGTAGTAAAGAGTAAATTGATGCTGCTCTGTAGACTGGACAACAAACTTTAAAATGAGCAAATGCGCCACTGTAAAATTATTCTGGTTCTTTCACAACTGTATATAATACTACCACATGTGTCAGTATTGGCTAGTATGTAACTGCATATTTATCCAGTAGGGATTTTTTAGTTTATTTTTTTAGTCTGGCCCAAGAGGCCTTTATGAGAAGGAAAGTGAGGATTTAAAACACTACTTTTTGTTGCTTCATGATTGAATTTGCTAGAGTTTTGTCTTAGACTTTGGTTTCTAATGACTATAAAAGGTGGATTTTGATGCTGTTATTTAAAGCTCTAATTGCTCAAACCAAACCAATTAAGCTTGGATGCTTTAAATCTTGCCACATTGGAAGTGCAACTCACAATTTCCAGGGATATTTTTTGCTAAATATGTTCTACTGAGTTGCTACTCTATTATGTGTATTTGTATTGTTAAATTACTGTATCTGCAAATGTTTATCTTCTTATTGCCCAGCAATGGGATCTTGCCTTGCTGTGATGGATTATGAAAGTAGTGTGTTGGAAGAGATGAGTTTCCAGGAAGGGGACAAAATTGAGATCATTGGCTACTTCATTGAATGCGTGGAATGGTTTCTTGGAAGACATGTGTTTACTGGCCAAATAGGTTTTGCAAAGACAAGTCATGTTAAACTGGACTTACCTAAAAATAAGTAAGTGATATGTATTTAACTCAAACAAAGAGCTTTAGTCTCCTGAGCTTTAAAATGTTAAATGCTAAACACAGGTTTGGGATGGGTTTTTAGTTGTAATTTGGTTATGCTTTTTTTTTGTCAGTGTGTATCATTCAAAACAAATGCAGAAATGGGAATATGAAGTCTGCTTAAGTGTTGGAAAATGTTATTAGTCTGTACCTGAGCAACTGGGACAAGGGATTTCTGTAGTTGTTATACCTGGTTCAGTTTCTATTCTTTGGATCACAAGATTTAAGTTTTACTATTGCAGAAAATCCCATTTTTACTGGTTTTTCAAGATCCATGTTAAAACATTCAAGTTCCATTTTTGCTACTACTCTCAATTACAGGCCTTAACATATTTCAAATGTGGCTTCTTTTACAAATAGTTGCTCGTAATGCACGAAGAAAACTTTAAGAACTGTTAATTTCAGCATGTATTGGCACCATGTCAATAGGCTGTTCCTGTTAATATGTACAGACTATTTGCATGCTGAAACAAGGGATTCTTAAATGTTATTTGAAATTCCATTTGATGTGTAACTTTAAGCTTGTATTAGAAACCAAGCACCATCATATCATTAAAGATTTGTGATTTTAAAAACTTATGTCAGAAAATGCTATACCATGACACACTGACATAAAGCTTACTCTGATATGGCAGAAACTTAAGTGCAAATATAGCTACTATCAATTTGTATGTTCATAAATATGACTAATGTTGAACACAACAGGACTTAGAATGTAAAGATTGTACTATTTCTCTAACAAGCTCTGATTTGACTGATGCAGTGAGCTCCTCAAGCCGAATCACAGAATTTTAAGAGACATCCAGATATCATCTAGTCCACCTTCCCTGCTACAGCAGGTTCACCTGGAGCAGGTTGCACAGAATTTGCTTTTAGACACCTTCAAAGTTGTTCCTTTCTTTGTTAGACCGCAAGACCTGGATTTTCTTGAAGCAGATGAGCTGTCATTTTTTTCAAATGACAACAATTTGGAAGAAGTGATACATTTGTTAAAACAAACCTCCATCACAGATATTTGCTCTGTGTACCGAATTGGTAAGTATGACTTCTACTCCTTTTTACTGCAAAAGATACATGTGTAGTTCCTGTAACTCATATTTTTTCTATTCCAATAAGATTTCTGCCTTTACATCTACTTTGAAATATCTTGCTATTCAGTTTGGTCATAGATCTGGCATGTAAAAATTCTGTATATCATCTTTGCTACTTTTCCCAACAGAGCATTTACAAAACTTCTCTTGTCCTTTTTTTTTGAGTGAATTAAAAAGCAGGGTTTTAAAAGCTCTGTTACTGAGCTGAACAGTTCTTCAAGCTTTCAAATGTCAGTACAGCATCACAAAAGGTAGCATGTTAACCTAAATACTGCCGGCTTTTCATTAATCTTAGAAATTATGGCATAATAATTATTGACAGCTAATGTAAACATACACCTCTTTGTGCTTGATTTGTCTTCAAAAGGTATAGAAAAATAGCAAAATCTATTAATGCAAAAAAATGTGTTTAGCTACATCATCTCTGGTACAGCTGTACTTTCTTAGTGTTCATGCTTTACATAAAATTAGGATAACTGGAGTTTCACTTTTACAAACTCAGTGTAAGGTACTGTAATAGAGCCTTGCTGAATGAAAGAGGAACAGCAATTTCTTATTGCAGCTCTTTTTCTGTGACAGTGCATATGCTTGTCAGATATCCAACAGTTTTCTTTCCATTAGTGTCATCCTAGGAGACAGGCCCATAGGCTCCAATTTGAAAGGACCCCATGTGCAGGTTTAACCTGGGTGCATTGCTTTAATTCTTCAAATCAGAGTGTGTGTGAACAATGAGGCATGTCAGACCTGAGGTGCAAACTGTAACTCATGTCAGTGTGCAAAATGACTCCCCATCTTGCCTTCCTAGCCCAAATTAAAAGCCTGGGAGCAGAAGTTCAGACCTATTTTGTACTACAACAATCTTGTGGGCTTAATGCACATACTATATTTGCCTGTTCCATGTTCTTCAGCATATCTCATCTCCTACCTAATCTTTTCAAGCTCCAACTTCTTTTCACAACTTCCCCAGCTATTACTACCTTCTTCATCGTGTTTTCTCAAACTGTACAATTCATGAATTCACTTACCCAGAGCAAGTGTGTTAAATATTCACTTGATGCTTTGTTGTGTGATCTGAGTAAATGGGTTTTCAATTTTTTCCACCTACATCAATCTAATGGGAAGTGTTTACTTATGAGCACTTCCCCAATTAGATATTCAGAAAATTCATTTATGACTATTGTAAATGTATGGCATTTGTCCACCAAAGTTAGGAAATCATTTAAAGGAGATCAATAAGTAAAGTCAGTGATAAGTCATTCTTAAAGGGTAGTAAAATTGTTTTATATCAGCTTAAATAGACCTAGTTCTGTGAACCTCTGCTTTTAGATATATCCTTCATACACTCAATGCCACTTGTATTGCATCTAGTGTATAAAAGACAGTGAATATAACCCTGAAACGCAGCATTACTGAAATATCTTGAGAAATACACAATAGTAATTCTGAAAAGTTCTACAGATGTACTATGTTAAACATGTAAAACTAGATCTATAGTAGTAATGTCTATAGAATTTAAAGATTAAAGCTTTTTATAAAGAGAGATACAGGTGTTTTTCATCTGCATAATATTGGAATGGCCACAAAGTCTGAAACTTATCTGCACAAACTACCCTAAATAATTATTCACTTACCAACCTCATGAGTGACTCTAAAACTTGTTTCAACAATATTAAGGGGTTTTGTTACCTTCTTTTAGGGATGGGTTGCAGGGAATGATTGTATCTACACTGCCTACTTGTATTTTAATGCAGCAGTGATGCCTCTCTCGTGCAGGACAGGTTGGCTTTAATTCTAACTGTGATATGCAGGTGCCTCCACCTTACTGAGCAGTGGTTGGTGTGTGATGATAACTATGTAGAAAGCAGTGAATTGTACCAGAAGGAGAGTAAGTCCCTAGTATCTGTTAGGCTTTGGGTCAGACTTAGAAATTCTTCTCTTCTATGGTGCCAGGACATGTCCAATTCTTCTGCAATAAAGAATTCTGAAGTAAAACCCTTATTTTAGGATATTTGAAACTGAAACAGAGCTAAGATACTGTAACTAACATGGCTTTTTTCTTTCTCACAGACCAAATAGAAGAACCAGAATTTCAGAAAGATCATGAATCTGGTAATAATTCACATGAATACAACTCTTACATAAAATTAATGGGACTTCTGATAGTCTTTGTCAGCTAATGTCTCTTCACATTCTAACTTCTTTTCTCATTGTTTGTTTTCCTGGGCATTGCTGTAACCCCTTCTCTCACTAGGTTTTGCTGTAAGACATTGTGGGTTTTCATTGTTATCAGATGTCTTTCTTGCACCTTCCTACCCAATTGCAAATTGCATTACTTTTATTGCTGTGATGCACACACATGCACCTCCACCAACACTGCTTAACAGGGCAAAAAAAAGTTTATGGCACCTAGCAAGTGCTGACTTGGAATTCCAGTAGATTTTCTGTCTACAAGAGAGCTTCATCCCATAATTATATTTCCTAAAGGAGGTATTTTGATGAGGATGCAGAGTTATTTCCCTTTGGAATTTAGTTGATAAGCTGTCACTATCATTACTTGTAATGTACTACATTTTTTCTAAATGCCAGGTTTTATTTTTATAATTCTGCTGAACAGTTTCAGAAATGAAATTCTAAGAAAACTGAGCTCTACATCTGCAACCTCAATAAGCTCCTGTTGATACTATGACTGCAGACTGCATCCCTAGTAGTCCCTAACCCTGTGACCTTGGCTGGATAACAATGAGAGAACTAAAGAAATTATGCATCTTGGTCTTTTTTAAACTTCCAAGATATTCTACAATGTCAGTATTAGGGGAATTTAGATCAATGACACCATCAATTACCATAAACTTGGTAATTTTGAGAAAGTTAATCTGTGCCAGTAGAGAGGTTTGGTATTTTGATTAAAAGAAGAAATATACATCACACAGGTGTGGCTGGCCACACAGATAACACAGACAGCAGAACAGGACCTTTGCAGGCACCCTCACATCACCTATGTGAGTCTTCAACTCAAAACAGTTCAGATTTATACGTCCTTCCTGACTAAAACTTCTGTCAGGACATAGGCATACCCTTACTCAACCCACATGCTCAAATTCCCATAGTCCATCCTGCATCCATGCCCTGACCTTGTGTGGTGGTCAACCTACTCCCTCCACTCTTGGGTCACTGGGTGTTATTCCACTCCTAAGCCACCCAGTAACCTGAAGCAAGTCAGGTATGGATTGTGAAATGCAGTGTACTTGAGTGTTGTGACACCTTCTTGACACATGTGGTTCCTGCTTCTCTGTTTTCTGGGGATAACACTGATATCTGGGTCTTAAGTAGTGGCCTGGAGAATTGAGGGGCCATCTTGACACACCTAGTGTCTGCTCTCCCTTTGATCAACAGGACAAGTGGGGATGATCAATCACCTCCTGACAGCCTAATATGTCTTTACTCCAGAATTTATTGAGATCTTGGCATATGCAACTGGTGGACAAGTAGAGGAATATTTTGCCATCCAAGTTAGGCTGAAATGGAAAAGTACCTGATGAATGTCAGTTCTCTTGAATTCTATAAGCAGCAATCCACAGGGAACAGTGTCTTCACACTTGCCTTTAAGAGTGTGAGTGTCTATATAACTCATGGATCCAAATATGCCTGTGTTTTTGTATGTTATGTTTTCATGTGCATATATAGCTTAGTTTAGGACATCTTGTAGCAAGTTAGAGAGAGCCTTGTCATTCTTGAATCTGTAATTAAGTTCCTGCTTTAATAATGTATTTTACTGAATCACTTGTCTTTAAAACAGTTATTGATTAGGTGCTACTAAAATTCAAGCTTTCAATTAATAAATCCTTAATTGCTGCTAAATCATAACCATGTCTAAACACCCCATCTGTGACACCTTGAATCTTCTATCCAGCCTCCAGTTCAGACCTTGGGTCTTTCTGGTTTCTGGTTTTCTTTTGCTTACTGACTAGTCTGAGTTGCAATTTACTGGCAGATCTCTCTCATTCACACACACAGAGAACAGAAACACTGAGGATACACTCCTGCAGAAACTAGTTTGAATTAAAACTGGACTTCAGCTGGATAATTGTTGTGTCAGGCACAAAGCCTGGCTAAGCAAGTGTAGTGATCAGCAACCTGCTTACAAGTGGCAAGTCCTGTTTATCTGCACTCCTCAGTCTCTCACACCTGTTCCTCCCTTATCCTTTTTGATTTCTCTTTCCCCACCTTTGCCTTGTCTCCTCAACATAAGCAAGTGCAGTACGTTTACATAACTTTTTCCTAACAGCATCTTCTGACACTAGTCTATCAAAGCCGTTGTGTTTGTGTGCACATGAAGTTCTGATCTGTTACTTATTTTTCATTTCAGAAATTCAGTGTTCACATTCTAGCATGGGATCCACTAGCAACAACAGAAAGATAGAAGAATTCTTGAGGAACTTCAAGAATTTGGAGGCCGCTCAGGCAGAAGAGCCAACTACAGAAGGAAAGGATTCAAGATGATGATCAAGCATCTGACACTTTTGAGTCATTGTTACTCTTCTTAAACAGGGAAGAGTATGACAGAAACTTCAAAGCACTGTATGATTACTCTTACCCATTTATCAACAGCATGTTTTATGGGTTTTCTGAAGAAGAACAACTAGTTAGCTTTTTTAGATTAGCAAGGGAAGCAGCAAAGAAAGCAAGTATGTCCTGGGCTCTAGCACGGTTGTGCTTTGTCCTAGGCAGGCTTAGTGTTAAAAAGCTGAAGTTTTCCCAAGCTCGGGTGTATTTTGAGGAAGCATTGGGAGTAGTAGCTGGAGGGTTTAGTGATTTGTACTTTGTAATTGCTCTTTATACAAATCTAACAATTATCTACTTGACACAGAAGAACAAAGAAAAATGTGCTCATATTTTTGACAAGGCTACAGCTCTTCTCATGGGGATTCCCAACTATATTTGCAGTGCTGACCTGGAGTCAGATATTCTAAAGTATGCTCTGAAGAGGACAATTCTGAGGCAGAACAAGCATGCAGAGGCAAGGGCATGCTTTCTACTGGCAAAACATTACAGTGCACGCAAACAGCATGAAGAGGCACTACCATTCTTGGAAAGGTTTCAACTGTTGCTTAATGAGCTGGGTTTCCAAAACAACTTATCAAACAAGTGTTATTTCAAACTAGCACAGTTGTACAACAAAAAGTGTTTGCCACACATTGTATTAAGCTGCATAAAGGTCACCTCTTCCCAGAGCTCCAGTGCTTTAATAGATTCCTTGAAAAGGATTGATTTAGTAATCAAAAATGCTCCCAAGCTCTATGGTGTGAGAAAACTCAGACAAATACACCCATCCCAAATTGTACCTTACCTCATACAAGCACTTTCCTCTGTGTTTACTAATGAGCAGCAAGGACTATGCTGCACTATTCATCTTAGCTTAGCAAAACTGTACAGCCACCACAAACAGTATGGAAAAGCTATTGTTCACATGATCAAAGCACTGGACTCTGATGTTTCTGCTAAGCCAGAAGAAGCTATTAGCTATCTGGTTTCACTTGCTTGGTTATACATTCTTTACAAACAATATGATGTGGCTTTAGCCATTTTAAATGCTGTTGTAGACTCTTCATGGAGCACTCTTCAACAACTAGGTGTAGCTTATAACATGCTTGCTATTGCTTTGAAAAGAACAAACAATACAAAACAAGCTGCTGAGAGCTACTACAAAGCATTGTGCCTTTCAGAAGAGACCAGTATGACCCATAACCAAGCTATAGCCCTAGCTAATTTTGCGGCACTATGCCTGCATGCAGCAGCCAGCAAGCTGGCAGAACATTATTATATCAAGGCAGTGAAGCTATTCTCCAAACTTCCAAATCTGGACTGTGGCCAAGACTTCATCCAGGTCCTCCTTCAGTTGGGATGCTACTATGTTGGTAGAAAACAAAGAGAGAAAGGAAGGTTTTATTATGAATGGGCCTTTTTAGTTGCAATGGAGATAAGTCATCTGGAAAGTAAGTATGGTTTTATTCCTCTGAAAGTTACAAAATGTACCCTGTTTGGGAATGTTTGTTATAGAGGCATGTTATAGTTGCTCCTAGGTATGATAGTCATTCCTTAAGAGGCATTTTATGTCTGGTTATGTGATAGCTATCAAAGTGATTGGAATCTTTGCTCTGTCTCATACTGGTGAAAAAATAAATACATGTTGGCTTGCTCTTCTGGTAGTACTTAGGTTTGTCAGAAATAGAGGAAATGAAATGTTAAGAAAAAAGCTAAATAATTAATAAAAACTCTAAAGACTTCTATGATTGATAATTTTTATAGTTATGGTATCATTTGCAGTGCAAATAGCACCAGATTTGAGTTTAAAGGCATGAAAAAAACTGGTAATCTGGGTTACATTTGCATAAAATAGTTGTATATAGAAGAACCATGCTTTATTTTTCTTGCTACCATGATTAAGGGAGCTTCCACAGGAAAGGTGAGTTTTATTATTTTATTTTGGAGATCAAGTTTGAAGTGACCTATTTGTTAATATTGTGGGTGAAGAAACTGTCAGTGGAATTTTCATGTTGTTACTTTTAAATTGTTATTTATTGACTAGGCTGAAATTTGTGAAACAGTAAGAATGAGTTATTTTAAAGCTAATGTAACTTTCATCTTTAAAACAGTGATTCATGTTAGTATTTCCAATCTATTCTCCTAGGTCAACTGCAAGCCATTAAACTTCTGTGTCAGTTCTACAGTACAGTTGCTCCCAATGAGGCTCAGTGTGTCATCTACAACGAGTATCAACTATCTTTAGCTAGAAAGATGTCCAACAAAGCTTTGGAGGGACAAATTTTGGAAACCATTAGTCAGCTCTATTTATCTTTAGGAACAGAAAGGTAAGACACATTGAATGACTTTGCTTTTTCTCTGATTGCAACTTTTCTGTCCCACTAAAGGACATCAGTTTTTTGCCACAGCTGAATATCATGGAATTTTTCAGTCTGCTTTTCCAAAACACTTTATTAGAATTGAAGGTTCCAGTGCTAGTTGAGACTTCTTTTGGGGTCTTCTGGGCTTTTTTTAAAAGTAATTATTATCTCTCCAGGGAGATAAGATGTTCAGTGGGGATTAGCACTACTTTAAGGGCCTGATTATATTTAAAATCTATGTAAATACATTGTAAAAGTATTATCTGTTATGCAGCTGTTGATGAGTGATACAGCTCTAGGAGTATTGCTGGCAGGTGACTTGTTTGCAAAGATAGATATTTTTGACAAGACAATTTTTTCCATGAGAAACCAAATGGCATATTCCAAACAGGTTGGACATCAAATTGGCTATGTAACTGTTTCTCTTTAAGGAACCTTTTTTTTTCTAAAGCTTATATAAATACAAAGACTATGTGCAAATCTGCATAGTGTCAGTTTCCAGCAGTTTCTATACAGCTCTTCTTTTCAGGGTATCATTTTTTGCTTTATTGAAAAAACAGACTGCACAACTCAGTTTGCAGTAATTAGCAGGTGCTTGGAAAATGTACAGGTTTCTCTAGACATTTTTTCAAGTGTTTTTAAAGGCAGGTTTTTCTGATATTTTTTTTTTTATTTTGCTATTGCATCTCACTTCAGGCAGTTAATATAAATTCAGGTATTTTCAGACATGCCTAGTAAGGATAGAAAAAATATCCTCAGTTGTGGGAAGAGAGTAAATGCTTACTTCAGTTCTAAGTGTCTGCAGTCCAAACATCTAACTTTCCTAATGTTGCCTAACTTATTTTGCTTTGTTCATAGGTGTTTAATGAGATAGCTGGTGAAAAACCTTTGTAGAGGCTCAAGACAAAGGAGTTGAGATTTTTGACTACCTGGAATTTGCAGAAGGATTTAACCAGCAGGAGGAGCTGCTGCTTTGTGTGCATATAGTACATGGAATTCATGTATCCTAGGAGCTTGGCTCCCAAATAGTGTTAGCTCTGTAACCTCAGGAGACTACCATATAGTAGCATATACTCAATTTCATATTAGACCATAGTATCACCGTATTCTCTAACAGTTCTGAGTAACAAGGATGTCTGCGATGAAGTAATGAGAACAGTGATGTCCATGGTGTCACCACCTCCATTGTAAATTACTGTGGCCATGCCAGGGGACACAGCCTGTCCTGTTCCAGCTGCTGTGCTGGGTTATGGATTCATATATGCTTCTGTCTTCTGTAAAAGCAAAAACTCAGGAGGGATATAAATGGCATTCAGTAATTGAGCTGAGTTGGACTACTTTAACTACCTTGCCTTTTCTCATGCTAGCAGCTTGAAAGCAGAGAAGACTGAAATGTAGGCTTGTTCAGTGGTACTTTACTTCCTCTTGAGTATTAAAAGGGTGACAGTTCTCTTTAATAGTAATAGTAAAAATATTTTTTTTTCCATCAGATGAGATACTCTGTTAAGAAAGAACTTAAAACTTGGTAGGGTAAAGTATGAGAGACCATATTCTAGATTGGTTTCAGATTTCTTTGGAGGTCTAAGCAGAGTGTTCTAAAGATGCACGGTGAAAGGATTCACTGTAACTGTGCAGTTCATGTTAGATTTTGATGTTTGTGCCTCTGTAGCCATAATTGATAAAAGAACAAAAGATTAGAAAAAAATTTTCCACCTGTCACTAGCCTGAGGTAGAGGAAGAACACATCTAAATTAAACTATCCTGAAATGATGTCATGTAACACTAGCAGGAAACAGATTGAGCAAAAAATAGGAAGAGGAAAATGACTGTATTGCTAGTTACTAGTACAATGTGTCTGAGAAAGTATAATTGTATATTGAATAGAGGAAACAGATTGGTTTTTTTTATAATAATATAAAGTGCTTTTTTATTAAGGAAAGCATTCATAATTCTGAAGAAACCCCCAGTGATTAGCAGTTTTCTTCTGTTTCAGGGCTTACAGGTCAGCTTTGGAATGTACTAAAAGAAGCCTTGGGATATTTATAGATCTCCAGAAAAAAGAGAGAGAAGCATATGCTTGGCTACGAGCAGGAAAGATATATTATGTTCTGAGGCAGAATGAGCTTGTGGATCTTTATATTCAGGTATGCTGTCAACTCTTACAGGCATGCACATGTTAATGTGGTGCAGGTGGCATGGGAAGAGAGTAATTCAATATTATGATTCCAGAGATTTTGCTAACTGATGTTCCCAACATATAGCAATACCATTTATGTAATGCTTAACAGCTGAAAGTCTCAGCATTTTCCATTGGTCCTCCATTTTAATCTGGAATGATTTAGGGCAGTGACTTTTCTTAGTGTCTGCTCTGTTGTATTTATTCAGCATTGTCTACCAGCTCTACAGCACCACAGCAATAAAATCATGTATCCCTGCTTCATGCTAGAGGATAATAGACAATAATCATCTTAGCATGTGGGCTTGTGGGCCAGGTCTCCAGAAAAAGAGTAGCTTTTTCAGGAAGCATTTCCAAAACATCTAAAGCTTTCCTTCTGAGGCTGTGCATAGCATGGCATGGGGCCAGCTGGAGCTGCTCCTGCCTTTGCAACCGTCAAACCAGAGCCATGTGGCTCTCACACCTCAGACCCCCCCTGCAACCAAATGGGACCTGTTGGTGCTTCTCCTGCTGTGCTAATGCAGACTGAAAGATGACCTGAAATGGGGTCTAGCCCTTATAGCTGCTGAAACTGGAGAATCCTGAGTCTTTCTCAGAGCTGGACTGACTCTGTCATCTGTGTTGCTCCTAGCCATTCACTGAAGTACTTGGGGAAACAGTTTATTGCTTTTGTAAAGGGACTAAAAATACTTCTCTCCTGTATTAAGTGAGAGTGCTGCCTTGTGTAGGCTGTATATAGAACTTGATATAGTAGAATCTGACTCTTGGCTGGTGTACGAATGAGTGGTAACAAAAGATGATCTCAAATAAAATCAGACATATGTTGTTAAGATTATTTGAAAAAATTCTACAAAGCAGGAAAACATAGGAAACAAGTTCATGTTTAAGATGTACTGAGATACAATATGTGGGGCTACTTTAATTACTTTTTGTCTTAATTAAGAGAGAGAACATTTAAATACCAAGAAAACTGAAAAATAAGTGTTTACAAGAAGGGATTGTACTACAGACCTATTATTTATTTTTGTTTTACTAAATGATTTAGGTGATAGCTCCCAAGCCAGTCACATAGTGGTACCAAAGCTAAATTGGCATGTGACATAATTTTATCAATCTCTATTTCCTCCAGGAGAAGGAGTAGGCCAGGAACATGCATGTTTATCTTTATTCTATACTCTGCATGTATAGAACCTCATTTATAGCACAGTCAGTGCCTGTCCACAAGGAAGGTCTCAAAGTGGGAAACTGCCCACTAAAAGCTGGTCTACTGTGCCAGTTATTTGTGAAGGTCATTACATATTAACGGCATGTAAAACACAACTTTCAAAGCTGTGATGAAATAAAGTCCTTAAGTGCCTGAAGCCAAAATAGGCTGAAAATGATTGCTCACTTTGGGCTTAAGTGGAGAGCTGGACTTGAATTAATTGAATGCAATGTGAAAACTGAAGATCACAAAGTCAAAGCAAGATTCTTCACCTTTGGCATGTGCAAGTCCCCTTTTTCGATACTACTAACGCTGTCAAGAACTGAGTGTCCTGGTACTCTTGCCCTGGGGAGGATGCTTGCTGCCTTTCATGAAATCCTTTGCTAACACAGGATATCCTTAAGTAGAGAATGGAGAAGCAGAGCTGTGTCTATTTACGTAATTCACAGGCTTTATATGTACACCGTTAGCAATATTTAACTTGCAATTAGAATTCATTTCTGTAAGTTATTATCAAAATTCAATACGTTGCAGCTATCCAAAGCACTATGGTTTTTAGAGTGCCATGTGCTGACAAAGGAAACGGGTTACTATTGCCAGAAAAAGGGATACTATAACACTGCTTGTGCCCAGGTCCTTATGTTCCTCCAACATTTGTCCCTGGTGTACTCAAACCAGGATAACAGAAAGAAAAAGCATGGTCTCATAAAATATAGCCTCTATATCTTAAAATGAGAACACTAAACAAGATACTGTTTCAGTTTTGTGGTTTTTTTTTAACCAAGAAGTAACCGAGAC